GCTGCCTTCCTTTGCGCTCCCGCCCCCTCTCTACCTCCAAGATGAGAGTCTAAAAAAGAGGAAAAGGAGGAAAGGCAAGTCAGTATGCATCAAAATTTACTTTACGGTACATGAAGAAAATCGAAAAATACCTGCAAGGCCGCGCCGGCAACCCTCCGGGATAGTTCCCCGTCGCTAACCCCTTTTAACATTTCATGCTCAACGGCCGCACATAGCAGGGTCATATCCGTTGCGGCCTGCTCGCTGTGTTGCAACAGGTTATACCCTCATGGGATCAGAATTCGGCTGTTGGATCTACCTGTCGTCATCCCCACACGGGCCGGACCCCGCATTAACGCATCTGCATCCGCCTGGGCGGCCTTAGGGCCCACCCTTTCGGTATCATCGCCCGCTTCTCCAACGGCAGCCGACGAGCCGCTCTTCAGAATGCGTGTTGGGCTGGCGTCGAGAACCGCCCTCCCTTGGGGAGCCGACCTCCCGGAACGGATGGCATCTGCCATAAAAACTGGCCTTGACTCCCGATGGGGCTCGCTCGCCCCCTCGTCTTCTGTGGCTATCCCCTTGCCGGTTATCAACCGACGTCTTTTCCTTTCCGGCGGCTCCTCGCTCTTAGAAGTCTCCTCCACAGCCCGTGGGGATGGCATTGAAGGAGTCGCTCGCCTCGTGGACGCCGCCACGGGCAGCGGTCGAGGAACCTCCGCAGTGCCATCACTGGGCGAACCACAGTGTATGTATCCGTCTTCAGAATCAGTCCCCGCCCCAGGTGAGGTGACGACGTTCTTTTTCTTCTTCTTAGGGGTGCTCCGACCTGCCAATACGAATAAGTCAGGTAACAAGAATGTAGGGAACTCCCAAACCGTAGCCAAAGAATTACCTGACGGGCCGTACTGTTGAAGAAATGCAGCCCAGGTACGGCATTCCTCCGCATAAGGTATTATTCTTTCCACCCATGATTTAATGTCATCAGTGAACTGGGGTGAAGAAGCCCTCGCTGCAAATAAAAAGGGAGAAAAGCAAAGAAATCACAATGGCCGTATGGTCAAAAGCGCAAGCAGTCCTGAATTCTACGAGTAGAAATACTTACGTTATGGATTCCATCTTTCCGGGAACCCTTCGGGATTCGACACCAGGTGCTCCGTCCTGATGTAGAAATATTTACGCCAAAAGCAGCGGTTGGGCTTATCATCGGCTTTAACAACCAAGCCCCTTGTGCCACGACTTTTTAACTGCAGCGTGGTACCCCTCAGATAACCAGGGCTGAATAACTGTAAGAGGTGGTGGACCGAGACGTTGCACTCAAGCCTGGCCGCATAAGTGGTCATAATACGGCACACCTTCAAGGTGTAAGGAGTGAGCTGAGCCGGACACACATTGTAAAAACGGCAAAGCTCCTCCATCAGAGGGTAGATTGGAAGATTGCAATTGATCAAGAACGGGTACTCATAGAATGTGCAATATCTAGGCCGGTGCACATTGGTATAGTCCGTCCCGGCCGGAACCATTTCCACGTGGTCCGGAATATGGTGCGTCTCTCGAAGATCATCTAAATGGGATTGTAATAAAACGCTGTGCTCCCAGGGAAGGTCTGGGCTTTTAGTTGGAAAATCCCTGCGAACATGCATCTCCTTCGGAAGGACGTTGTCTACACTGAGAGGAACAAGGGCCTTCTCCGCCTTTCCCCCTTCACCACCGGAAGATGGCGGAACCCTAGACGGGGCATTATCTTTGGCCTTTTTACTACTCTGTCCACGTTTTGTCATGATTATACTACGTAAGAAACGAAGCAGTGACGATAGGAAGTGTGGTTTCAACAGAAGTGGGAGAGTCCCTCACGAAATAACGGTTACAGGAAAGAAAGACAAAGGAGTAAATCAGAAAATGCTTTCCGAAGGCTTGAAAGTTGAATCGAATCGAACCTCTCTCCTACTTATAGGGATAAGTTGCGCAGAAATCGAAGAGTCATGATTCAAAACGTGCGCGGGAAACCAAAATATCACATCATCCTCTGAACCGCCTCGGGGGCAAATATAATAATGATGCATACAGGCGATGACGTCATTTCAAAAAGGAAGACACGCGTCAGTGGCTCAACAACGTCATATATTTCACCTCATTCATATTACTGCCCCTGGTCGAGGTCAAATTCTCCTAAGCCGAGGTTTGCATTTCCGCCCATCGAAGACGCCCACCGAATGCGTCTCCAACGAGCGGAGGGACTAACTGTATAGGGTCAAATTTGACCCTCAGCATCTCTACGCCAGTGGGTACGCCCAGTGAGTGTACGCCGACTAACGCAGCGGGTACGACTCGGACGTGGGGACAAAAGCGACATCGTTTAGGACTCAGTGTCTTCACTAGGGAGACGTTACCTGTCTTTGTAACTTTTTGATTCTTTCGAGGAAGGTCTCTTATTATATAAAGGAGACCTTCACATTGTAAAGGGGGGGATTCGGATCTAATACAACTCTTTTATTTTCTGGCTTTCTCTCTCTATCTCTACCTCAAACGAACATATCTTACTGAGTTCATATTATCACTTTGCAATACTAGATCTACAACAATAATATCATCTTTGCATCTCTAGGTTTATTATATTTGATTGAAATTTACCCTTTTCTTACTTTTGATTGTTTTCTAGCTTACAAAGTATATTGTTAACCTTTGAGCCAAACAACCTCATTTTGCTGTTTTTAATAAATATATTATTATTAATTTTTATCAAGTAAAAGTTTCTGCTGTCTATACTGTTGTGTCAGTTTATACAAAAGATACTGATTATTAGATTGTTTTTGATTTGGTTTTGATTTTATGGGGTAATTATAGTTTAATCCATTTTTAAAGATTTCATTATTTAGTAATAGATTGTGCTTAGAGTTTAATTGGATTCTGGTATCTTGATTATCGGATACTTTGTTCATTTTGTTGAGTTTGCAGGTTGATTCCCTATTCGATAATAGTACTAATTGGTTATTCATTATAATTATGTCCTGCGTTGAGCCGAGGGTCTGTCGAAAACAGCCTCCCTACCTTTTAGGTAGGGGTAAGATCTTCGTACACACTACTCTTTCCAGACCCCACTAGTAGGATTATACTGGGTTTGTTGTTGTTGTTGTTCTTAGTTGTTCAGATTTTATTTTTGAAGAATGTTAATCTTTTTAACATGATAAAAGAAGAGAGTCGAGTAGGTTATTTGACCAACATAGAAATAGTATATCGATTTATATATAAAAGAACAGATAAATGATAAACGAGCACAATGGACATAGGTTTTTATAGGCAACTCTAACTTATTTGGGGATGAGACATAATTTGACAAATTGACAGATGGAAGAAAGTTCATTTTTTTGGGGCATTTCTTTAATTTGTTTTGCTTTTTTTTCATATCTCAAATAATTTAGGTGAAAACAAACCAGCAAATGAGCAAATGGAAGAGCACATGGTATTGTGGGCCGAACAACAGCTAGATGATACTATATTTGAAAATAAAGAGGATATTAAATGGGTTAGAGAAGGTGTGCCGGGAATAGAAATTGACCCATTTACTTTGGAAAGTAATGAAACATATGATGAAGAAGACGACATATCTTAGTTACTTTTCTTTTTTTTTGTCACTATTTTAGTAAAGATTGTTCTTAAACATAGATCATCGAGTTGGGGATTTCTTACTATGCTTTTTAGTTGTTTAAATCTTATATGCGTATGTGTCTTTTTGTTTGGCTTGCTAGTTTGTATTATTTTATACGTCTGGATAGTAGAAAATATTTTTCAATTTTGCAGGAACTATAATTTTTGAGCAACTTTGTTATGATGGCAAGAAAAAGACAGAGAAATTCCAGTCAAGAAATGCTTTTGCCTGATTTTCCGTAGCAACAAGAAGAACAAATGGGAGGTGCGGCGATGCCTCAACCACCTCAAAACTGGCCACAAAATGAAGGAAAAGCTATCCAATCTGATAAATCAAGAAATGATTCACATGAAACAGAAAATTCCCTAGGTACTTATTCTGTATAATATCTTATCTTTATTGAATAGTTACACTTTGTGTATTTGTACACTTTTTCCCAAGCAACCAAGTAGACCTAAATGTAAATCATCAACTCAAGCAAATCCACTAAGAGTACTTGTACCTTGACCGCTCATCTCTATCATTGTTCCTAAATCAATATACTTATAAGTCCCCCATAGAAGCAGAGACACCACTTAAACATACAAATAGTATCATGAATGTGGAGACACCTATATTCTGTTCTTATGAAGGTAGCACCTGCTTTGCTATTAGAAGCTATCTTCTACAGTACATTGGCCAATTACACTCAGCTCTTCATATACAAATTGAAAACATGAGACAGATTGTGAGCACACCAACATTATTGCTTAGATATGTTTATGGATCTAGTTGAGGCATCTTATAGTCTAGCAGATACGTATCCAAGAAAGAATTCATATCACTATACCTACCTGTATTGATGTAGTTTCTTTTCCCAAAAATATATATGCTTGATTTCTGGCAATTTTCCTCTATCACTCTATTATTCTAGTCCCTTGGTATTAATGGAATGTTTTCATGTGAATTTTTAAAAGAAGAAAAAGAAGAATTAATTGAGTTTTACTAAGTTATGGATGACTCTCTTTTTTATATTTGGTTATTGCTGAATCTAGTGCTAATGAAGAGAAATCTAAGCGACCTAGGGGTCCTACTATGATGCACTCGGGATGGGGAAAAGATGGTGGCATTTTACATGTTGAGTGGAATAATCTTAGTCAAGCTATTGGACCTGATGCAGGTAAATTGAGTTCAAAACTTGGAGTCATAGCACGAAATGGTATTTTAGCTCCTTTAAATCATAAAGATTGGAGGCTTGTGCCTAAACTGTACAAGAATAGGATATGAGCTCGTATTAAGGTGCTTAGAAAATTAAAGAAAAAGATTATATACTAAGATGCTTATTGATTTTATGCTTTTATACATGTGTTATATGTTGATATTTGCAGAAAAATACTGATGCAACTAAGGATATGAGACGTATGTTGATGATATCGGTTGGATCTAAATGGAAAGAATGGAAGCATGAAACAAAAATGATTGGTTATGAGCCATACAACAACGATATCGAGCGCTTAGCTAAACGTCCAGACAAGGTAGAAGAAGACCAGTGGCGTGCATTAGTTCATTATTGGAGTTCTAATGAAGCAAAGGTATTCTCCGAGCGTCAAGCATCTTCTTCTCTTGCCGTTAACACATGCTATTAGCGCATTCCGTATGCGGATCATACTTTTTAAAAAAAAAATATTTTATGCTTTTCCTCTGTAATTTTTACCTTTTCTCTTTTAAAAGTTTTATTCTTTGGTCTGATGTTTGGCCATGAATTATCTCTAATATATAAAATAAATACGTGTAACTTTTCTAGGAAAAGAGCGAGAGGAACAAAGAAAGTCGAAGGAAGCTGAGTATGCCACACACATCAGGAAGAAAAAGTCATTCTCAAATTATAGATGATGTATGCCATATTTACTATAAGTTTTCTGCAATTTATATATCAATACTTATTTTCTTGAATATATTTTCTACAACTTTTTTACTATTTAAACAGATGACAAAGAAGAATGGTGTAAAATCAAGTCGTATCGAGGTATTCAAATAAACACATACGAGAAAGAATAAACAACTAGTAAATGAGATAGCTGATGAAACTATGGTAAATTCCCATTCTTTATGAATATAAATTACTTTCTTTCCAATATAAAATTGTATTAATTTTCCAATGTTTTTATCTTTTCTTTCCAAAAGAAAGAAATGGATGAACTTGCTAAGGTGTATCCCGAGTTAAATGTTCCTGGAAGTGCTCCCAATGATGTGTATGCACAGGTCAGGGGACCAGACACTCATGGAAATGTTCGAACTTTAGGAAAAGGAGCAGCTCCAAGTTTTATTTATGGCCCTGCATATAAGCGATCCCAGGCTGAGCAAAGAGATTTTGATAGAAGAGTTGAGATGGAAGATGAAAAAGCTACCTCCTCTATGAGAATTGCGATAGAAGAAAAATTGTCTGAAGCAAAAAAAGAAATAGAAGCGATGGAGAAAAAGTTATTTGAAGCAAAAGAAGAAATAAAAGCGATGGGGGAAAAATGTTAGAAGCAACAAAGGATATGGATTCAAAAATAGACGATAAAGTAAAGGTAGGTATAAATGCATATCTAGATTCTTTGGGTTACTATTGGCTCAATTAAGAAATTATAATGAGCAGGTAACAAATATTGTGCTCTTTAGCAAAAATTTATTGCATTTAAGATAATCTTGTAATTTAGTTTTCTTTTGATTGTAATAATCTTCCTCTTTTGTGATAGGTTTCTTATAACCCAATGGACGATCACCAACAATCACAATCACCTGTTTCACTTGTTCATACAAAGATGGTGAGTTCGTAAACCCATTTTAACTAAATCTTTTTCTGCATACATTCGAAGAGTATAGTTTTAACTATGTCAGTTTTCACTTCAGTTACGTAAAGCTTCAAAATAGCATTTTAAAGTATAGAGGCCTATTCTCAAGGGGGATCATAGGGGCATATGTTTCTTGTCAGCAATTGTTGCCCTCTTTCTTTGAAGAGTCAAGAGTGTCACAAGCCACTGAATCTTAGGAGCTTTGCTCGCCTTTTTCCCGTTTTTGGTAGTAAAATTTCGACAGTAGGTGTTGACATACTTCCTGATATCATCTTCCTTGGAAAGGTTGAAGAGTTTGCTCATCTTTGAGGCATGTTCTTATGAAAAAGCATCACAACTCTTCATGCTCTTCTGCAGCTTACACTTAAGGATGGAGTTCCATTTTTTAAGCTTGTGTTTGACAATGATGGTGGCATTCTTGTTGCAGTTGTGAAGAAGTTAGCTTCTTTTATCTTTTTATTAATTGATAAGATTCCCATCGAGCATGATTTTACCCTCCTACATAAGGTATGTAGCCTCTTGTAGAACCTGGAAGAAAGAGCAAGTTGAAAACTCTTGCCTAGATGAGGAAAATAAAGATCTATGATTGAAACGCCATCATATTAGGAAATAAAATTATTAAATGACTTTGTCCTATTTTTTTATATCTTGTATTCACAATTTTCTAAGTTGTAAATTTTATAAACCGGAGTAACCAATCTAATATTTCTTCTCAGGTTAACATAATCAAGAAGATTGGAGTTAGTGAAGTTGGCACAAAGAAAAAGAAGCGGGTAAGTTTGAAAAAATTACAAGGTTCTTGTTCCCCCTTTTCAAAGGGAGAAACCCTTCATGTTATAGTTTGCAAAACTTATATAACATTCATTAGTTTTCATCTCAGTATACCATTTAAGGAAACTAATATTTCAGAATTCAACCCTCCCCTCTCCCACCCTGTTTCTGCCTCAGTCCCAAAGAAAAATAAAAACTAAAAGAGTAGGGAATGGTTTTCTTAAGTGCAAGATGAATTGAGAATAGCTGAACATTTTCTTTTCCTTGGTAAGAGTGAAATTGTGGTTTGTATTGAACACCATTTTTCTAGTACAAAATTGATGCTGAACTCTGATATGAAAGTGCATTATTGACTATTGATATAGCATTTGTTGCAAAAAATTCATTATTATCGTTGAGGTAAATAGATTCTCCTAAGTGAGCTATCTCATTTAGATTTTGTTTCAACCTTTCTTGGACAGGTAGCTTTATGTGTGCTTACTTGTATTTAGCTTTTTAGGATTGATCGTGTTTATATTTATTTAAATCTTGCAGAACCTCCTTCGAGTGGAGTTATATTTTCTCCCTTCCTCTCACATCCACCCACAACCAAAAAAATATCATCAACTGCATTATGATATTACAATATTTCAGTTGTTGTTCGGTTTGGGCGGTTGCGTTCACTTTCTTTGATCTTTTGCTTTATGTTGTCTGTTTATTTCTCTCTTCAGTTGCTAGTATTACATTCATTATCAATTTGTTTCTCTTTTAGAACATGAATCTGTTATTATTTTTGGTATTCCAATTGTTTTAGAGGAGGAAAGAATTTACTTTATTATAAAGGTATAATTCTTTTTTTCTTTTCTTGTGACTTCTTGTGCAGCATTCGTGAAGGAAGTGATGTCAATTACTAGCAGTGAAAAGCTTGACTTGTGGAGAGTTGGTTTTATAAGGTTTACTCTAGAAGTTGAGGAAAATGAATTCGAATTAGGAGTGATCTTAAAGTACTTACACATTGAAATTACTATCTTTTATGATTTAGTTAGATTTGGGTTTTACGTGAGAACAAATCATTTGATCTGGCATTATCTATCTTGTACTAAGTACGTTTTATATTGCTACTTTGTTCTTTGGTTACTGTGCTAAAAGATATTTGCTTTACATTTATTTCATGTTTGTTATAAAAGTTGACATTTGTGAATGTAAATGTATTCATGATGAAACTAAACAGAACATTATTATTTACATTCTAAAAAATATGATACCGACATTAATTTAAATGTCAAACATTCAATGCGACATTTTGCTATGTTGTAAAAGATATGTCACTAACCGACATTTTGCTATGTTGTAAAAGATATGTCACTAATTTTTGTTAGTGACATTCACATAAAGTGGAAACGGTTTTTTTTATATGTTGTGAATTTTCTTAGTGACATTTACCAAAATACCGGAAATTTCAACACGACATTTTGTGAAGATCATACGTAAATTTAGTAATCTTTTAGAACAATAATCTGATTGTCGAAAATTTTAAGTGACATTTTCTATATGTTGTAAACTAAATGTCGTAATATTCTTACCGATATTTACCTAAATTAAAAAATATCATAAATTTTTTATTGACATTTACCTAAATGTTGCAAAGTAAGTGTCGTAAATTTCTTATCGACATTTACCTAAATGTCGTAAAATAAGTGTCACAATTTTTTATTGACATTTACCTAAATGTCGTAAAGTAAGTGTCATAATTTCTTACCAATATTTACCTAAATGTCGGAAAATGACCGACATTGAAATTAACGACGTTTGATGCAAATGTAAATTAAATGTCGGTAAATAAATTGGTGACATTTAAACAGCATAATACGATATTTATTAAATGTTGTCATTTCTCCACTTTCTTGTAGTGGCCTAGAACAATTCTATACAAAATTACTTTGATTTCCGCAATTAACATTATTTCATATAGTGGAATTGGTGTAGCCCGAACGAGATATAGTATATTTGAGGTAAAACGATAATAGTTGAATGTTGCCATGCAGTTTTGTACTGAATTCTTGTTTTCCTGAGGCATTAAATAATAACAACCCTAATACCACAAGGCACACGAATGGTGCTCATCCAAAACCACTAGAAGTTGCCACTACAAAATGGGCAAACATGTGAAAAACTAGGTACTAAAAACATGGGCAAATATTTTTTATTTTCACTTGAGTTACAAGTTATATCATCTTTTAGATGTAAGCTCTTTCGTGCTTTAACTGACCAAAAATTTTAATTTTAATTTATTGAATTACACTTTCAATTGATAACTCAAATACAATTTTGAATAATATTTATACGGCTTTTAGAAATAATTTACTCATTGAAGCTAAAGTACATGTGCGACGCGCGTATCCTAATTCCTAAGACTAGTGCTAAGAAATCTGATAATCCATCGGGATTTTTAGCAAAATTCTAATGATCACCAGATCTTTTTTAGCATGGTGGCTAAAATATTCTGGTGATCATCAGGATTTTGCCATAAATTATGACAATCATCATTACTTGCTAAAATTCTAGTGAGCGTGCTTTAAAATCTTGCGTCGTGCTATTTTTCAAAATCTTTTGCTACCGAAATCAAAAATCAACAATGGCTCAAAAATATCTTACTTGTGCCATTCTCCCGATTGGATAAAGAAATAAATGACTGTTGTTTGAGTTAGCATGACACCTAGAATTTGAACCAAAAAATAGTATTTGACATCACAAATATAATTTTTACGCTATCAATTAATTTAACTGGTTATAATATTTTATTTATTTTATTTTGTTTTCAAAAGTATGATTACTATAGATAGTAACTTGTCGCTGTAGTGACCTTAACTTAACAGTGTAAAAATATTATAATTGTCAATGCACAAGAACTTAACTCACGATAAGGCGAGGTCTACATGGATCTCAAGGAAGATAAATTAGAGTAAAGTCTTGATGTGGCGCCAGTTTTGCACTACCGAGTGATATATAT